GCCCGCGACGACCCGTCATCACGACCACTGGGGGCGACATGGTACCACCGCACTTCCTCGCGTCCACTAACGACCAGAGAAAAGCAAGCCCTGCCTCTTGTGTGCGCGGGCAGAAGGCCTTGCTCGGCGGAGAACACCTCGACCGAGATTCCCCACCGCCGTACCAAAACCGGTAGGACGCCCAGCTCGCGATGGGATGTCCACGCCACGGGGAAAACTACCCCCAAACCGGTCGGGCAACACCACCGGCCAAACCGGCCAGTTCCCTTCACCGCCGGTAACAAGTTTGTCGAGCTAACACCCCGGACGGGCCCAAAGGCATATTAACACATGCATATCAAACATATAATTCAAGCATACAAATAAGTGCAGAGATAAGACCAGCATAAACATCATGCAAATACCGAGCGCACACTTAGAAAATTCTCAAAAGATATATTAAGCAAAAGCGGGCACCATCCCAGTAGTCAACATTACATGAACAGGGGCACGCAGGCCCAACAAAGAAAACAAATTACAAAATATCGGCACGCAGGCCAGGAAACTACAAGCACGCAGGCCCGGGAAACCTATACATCCTCGCCCTCCTGCTCAGCACCCACGGGGTCAGCATCAAAAACGACAAGCTCGGGGTCAACCACCTTCTCGTCGACAATCTCATGATACGGCCCAATCCCTTCCACGACCAATGCAGTGTCGGGGTTGACAATTTGGATCTGCGCAACGGCGCTCTTGAACCCGACCTCGACAGCGTCCAGGCAATCGCTCTCCAGCACCCGAATCCGGGCGACCAAATCAGCACGCGTGATCATCCGCCGATCTTCCTCAGTCTCGTCCTCGGCCGAACGAAGAGCGCTATCCAGAACTTCCATGCGAACTTTCAGCGCCTGCACTTCGGCCGCCGCCGCCCCCAGCTTCTCCTCTACTGACGTCACTTTCTCCTCAGCACCTTCCGCTCGCTTGTGCTGGTTGGCAGCATCTTTCCAACTCTTCTCCAGCTCCTCGGTGAGTTTGGCCAAGCGCGATTGCATGAAGGTGAGGTCCCCCCTGCAATTTGGTCAGCTCAGCAGCAGAGCAACACTCCTCGTTTAGGACCAGAGCCGTTGTAAAAGTCTGCATCATCGCGGCCAAATCCTCCGCCAAGATGCGTCGACGAGACTCTCGATCAACATCACGAACAACCTTCACTTCGCCAGCAGAGACAGTAGGAGACCGGGCCCCGTGAAAATAACCCGGATGTTGATGGCACGACAGGACGACATAGCCCTCCTCGGTCGAACCAGTCATCAGGTCAGTCAGGCCACTGGGCTCCTCGGACCTTGGCCTCTTCGCAGCTCCCGGAGACGTAGAAGACAGGCTCTCCTGGGGAGAAGACGACGAACTCTGGCCTCCCAGCGTCACAGCTTCCTGCCCAACCAATTGGCTCACCCGCGTCTTCGGGACCGCGGCAGCCCTTGAGGCGCGCAGCTTCTTCACCCGCTCTTCAACAGAGGACATATTCGCTGCAAAAAACAGAAAGAGTCAGCAACGGACAAAACATACGATCACGAGAAAGACAAAACATCCCTACCTAGATATTCCAGAGCATCCTCCCCCGAGGTGCAACCGAGCAGGGTCCTCGTATTAATTATCCGTTTCTTCGTCTTCACGTTCCCCTGCGCGTCGAGGATATACCGACCGTTAGGCGTTACCAGTTTCGACGGAGGAAGATCCCGCACAAATGCCACTATTTTCATATAAGCGGCCATGTCCCTCTCGTCGAGAGTCCCCGCCCGCACGATGTATCGATGAATATCGCGGTTGAAGTGCTCCGAGGTCCACAGTAAATGTACCCTGGGGAGCCACGCAAGGAACCTCTGGCCGTCTACCATTCGCTCTCCCTCGGTAAAAAGAGTGTCCGAACCTTCCTGGGTGATCGGGTTCACGAGGAAGAACCGACCCTTGAAGTCTCGGACAGAGTCGCTGTACGTCTTAAAGAGCTTGGTCGGCTGCTTAAACGAGACCCATCCCTGACGGCCATTCACCGATTGGCGTTGCAGGTGGAAGATGCGAAAAAACAAGGGCACCGTGGCCTCCACATCGAGATAGTGGCACACCACCTCGAACGCGCGGATAAAGGCCAGAGCGTTGGGATGCAGCTGGGACGGGGCCAAACGTAACCAGTCAAAAAGGCCCAAGTGGAAGGCGGAGAACGACAGTCTGAGCCGAGCCTCTTTAAAGTAGAACTCGTGCATGGGAAACATCCGCCGCCCATACCTCGAGCAGATACGATGATGCTCCTTCGGACGATACACCTGCCAGTGTTGCGGCTCCCCTTCCACCCTATCCTCCACGGTAGCGTAGGCGCCGGACACATCGAGCGCGAAGTAAGAGGGGGTGGACAACGACTCTTCGGCCCCCACTCTTCGACGGGGAGGACCCGCTCGTCAAAATCTGGGATCTCGAGATCACTGTCTTCGACCATCGTCCCCAGTATCAAGGCCGACATGCACACCTGAAAAGCAGAGGACAATGGTGAATTCGATAGCCAAGATCAAATCCACCCTTCCACCGCAGGTCAAGTGAAAGGGCGACGACGACAGGAGAGCGAGTAAAAGACGAGCGCGCAGACGGTCCCCGAGGGACGCTGCCCGTCGCGTCTCCACGGGGCGTTCAAAAGCTAACCTATCGCCCCTCCCTGGGGTACTCATCGGAAAAGGCACACGTCCCCGGGGCATTCATCGGAGAAAGCACCCGTCCCCGGGGCATTCACCGGAACAACCGAACCTCCCCGGGACATTCATCCACACAAACCTATAAGAAACCACCAGGCGCGGCAGATACTCACGTCTCTCCTCGGGGCATTCATCGCGCCCTGACCACAAACCCTAATTAAACGGCGGAAATAAAAGAAGAGAAGAGGAAACTCACTTGTGACGGCGGCGAACGGGATACAGAACTAACGGCGCGACGGCGATTCACAACAACGGCGGACGGGGAGGAGTCACAGAGTTTCACAGGTAAGAAAGCAAGGCGAAAAGTAAAAAATGCGCGGGGACCCCCGTATTTATAACCCGGCGCGGAACTCGAAGCGACACTAGGCCTTTGAGTGTCATAGGGTAGCCGCCCTACTACCCACTCAGCGCGCGACACGTGGCGGTAACCTGACGGTCGCGTCTCTTCATATACCTTTGCCCCGCTTTCCCGACGATAAGAAGACCTTCGCGCGTGCGCGCGTCCCACCGGACATAAAACCGACGAGCCACCCGCCTCGCTACCTCTTTTCCCGAAGCAACGACCTTAAATCCTTGCTCTTTCGCCACAGAGCTTCGACTTGGGGGGCTCCTGTTCTGGTCTGGGCCCAGCCTCGCGGTCCAGCCTAACAACGCACAAGGCCCAATAAGTGGAATAGCTTGACCGGGCGCACACCCCCCATCGGACGGGCAGGATACGCTCTCCGCCAAGCGAGACGGCACGCCTCGAAGCGTCCTCGGCGCCCCCCCCCCCTTTTTGGCCGAACAGAACGCCCTCCGCGGGCGACATTCCCCGTGCCATCGGGCAAGAACCCTTGGTTCTTCCACGTCCTCGCGTGCTCCCCTCCGCGGGGAGAACAACGCCCTCCGAGGAACCTCGCGAGCTCCCCTCCGCGGGGAGAACAACGTGCCCGGTGCACGTTCTCCACGTGCTCCCCTCCGCGGGGACACGTCATCCCCAACTGCCCACCTCCGAAAGAGCAGGTCAAACCCACTTTCCGGAGACCACGGGACAGTTGGACTAGGGCGAAGACCACGTCCTGGTCTTCACTACGCCACGTAAGCCCTAGCAGTCACCTGGGTTGGGCCTGGCCATCCAGCCCAACACAAGTGACCGTTGGCCCAACGCTGGGGTCTCTCTATAAATACCCTCTTCCTCAAGAGGGTCAGGTAATTCACTTCTTACCCACTTTCTGTACTTTGCTCTCTCTGCCCAAATTCTTACTTTGGCATCCGAGTGTCTTGCAGGTACACCCCTCTTCTCCTCCTCATCACCGGTGAACAGGTAGCAGTCCAATAGCGTGTGGTCAGCCCGTGATTCCCTCCTGATCAGGTCAGATCAATATATATATATATATATATATATATATATATATATATATATATATATATATATATATATATATATATATATATATATATATATATATATATATATATATATATATATATATATATATATATATATATATATATATATATATATGGGATTGGATGGATACTAAATTCTTCATTCTTTTATACTCATACTCACTTATTTTATTTAGATTATTGCCATGATTATATTTAAATTTATATATAACATGTGTTTTATTTTCTATTGAGTATTTTTTCCGAGTATCCATTTTATACCTAAGTCCTATTGTCATTTTTAGTCGTCTGAGTGCGCAGGGTTGAATTTTTCTCATTTTTTTGGTAAACAAAAATAAAGATTTAAGTGATGATATTTTTATTTTATAATATATTTTAATTTTAATTTATAAAATAATTTTTTTTACATTTTTTATAAATAAAGAATAATAATTTAAATTTTTAAGAAAAAAAAAGCATTAACCCTCCATTTTGCAGAAACTTCGGATTCGTTAGCTTTTTTCTGGTTTTATACAATTTGAATCAATTTCTATTGCTTTAATTCAAATAGTGAGTTCGAATCGATTACCCTTAAAATTATCTATACATTCTGTAATTTAAAACTTTAAATAAATACTATGTGTTTGCTCTTAATATAACTCTAAAGTTCTTTTTTTAATTGTCATTAATCTCTTTCTTATTTAAAAGAAGCAAAACAGAATCCTCTCTTTTGACTCTTTTGATTTTGGTGTTTTATTTTCATTCATTCATCTTTAAATCACTAATCTTCTGTTTTGAGAAACCTTAGATCTGCTTTTATCAACGAATTTAAACCTCATCAAAAAAAAAAACAGTATATATATAAACTCAGAAATCAAGGTGGATGAAAAGGAAGAAGCTTCACCATCATCTTTGTTTATGAAGAAACAAGATCCACCTCAACCTACACATCAAGGTAACTAACACTTCATTCTCTTTCATTTCTCTATTATCTTGAATTCATCAAGGTTTTCTCAATGTTTCTTTTTATTGATTAAGATATTTTCATCTCTTTTTATTGTTTTTTAAAGATATTTCATCTCTCTAAAAAATGAGGAAAAAAAAAACACTTAAAAATTTCTCTTGATTTTTCTCCTTCACAAAAATCTCCTTTTGTTGCATATACATTCTTATATTATATTATATTATTATTATAATTATTATTATTATATGATTTTAATTATATGTCCTTAATATATCATAATTATAGTTAATATTTGTTATATGTAATTTCAAGCTTTTATGTGTCCTATCTTTTTCTTTTTTTTTGTCTAAGTAATGTCCATTTTTATTACAATGAATGTTTCATTGTTCATATATATTATATTAATTGGATATTTTAATTTCCATTTATAGTAAAACTTCTATAAAAGTTAACAAAAATGTGCTAACCAATTACTATTATACATAAAATGATTTGAAGGTAATGAAAAGAAAAAACATTATAGAGGAGTTAGGCTGAGACCATGGGGAAAATGGGCAGCTGAAATAAGAGATCCTAGAAAAGGAGCAAGAGTATGGCTTGGCACATTTGAAACTGCTGAAGCTGCAGCTACTGCTTATGATGAAGCTGCCTTGAAGTTCAAAGGAAACAAAGCCAAGCTTAATTTCCCTCATCTCATTTCTCATTCGCCGCAATCAGATCTATCGCCGACGCGTAATAACAATAATGTTTCATCACAATCTTTATCTCCGTCTTCATTGTTGCGGAATAGTCCACGAAAGTCTCTTTTTCCGTTGTCATCCACAACGGAAAAAGAAATGTTTCCAAACCTAATGCAATACGTGCAAGTACTTTGTAGTAAGGATGATGAAGATCTTCGACGTGCTACTGCATCTCTTTACAATAATAGTAGTAATAATAATAATCATCAAAATAATGATAATGAACGATTTCGTTATTATAATTTGCCGCCATTTTTCTCATCAATGGCGTCATCTTCTTCTTCTAAGGACGTTCTTGAGTCTAAGGTTGGAGATTCTCGTCCTTTAAATTTAGATACGAGAAGTGGTCTTGATGAAAGGAACACGACAGGGTCATAGTATATATATAATTGATATGAACTCTTTCGATTGTCAAAAATCGTAGTTGATAAACAAAGATTGAAACATTCATATTTGCCTTGAACCATTCATATTGAGTGCATATTTTAAATTTTATTTAAAAGTTAATTTGTAAAATTTAACTTGGTTCGGCTCAATTCGATGAAAGTTGATTCAACTCATAACTTTTTTTAAGTTCATACTCAACCCATTTTAGATTCACGAATAACTTGGTTCAACTCGTTAGATTATTCTCGTTTAATTAAGAAAATATGTTTAGTTCTAGTTGGTTCAGTTTATTGTAAGTCCAAATTAAAATTAATGCAAAATCTCTTTTGAGATTATGTTGATAATTAAAGAATATCTTACCAACATGGAATTGCGACATAAGTTTTCAACAGTACTGAATTTTTTATGTGTGAAAATTTTGAGTCATTTAGCTTCAAGTAAAAATATTTTTTATGATGAGTATGATGGTTCTTTTGAATAAATATTGTCATTGAAGACACTGTAAAAATTCTTTGAGTAATTTAGCTTTCAATTGAAATATTTTATTTATGCTAGAGTATTATAGTTCTTTTTTTACTATGATTTTTGTTGAAGAAAATACGAAGTATTTAGAGTAACTTAGCTTCAAGGGAGATACTCCTTATCATGGAGCATGCTAGTTCTTTTGAATTAAGATTGTTCATGTCAGTAATGGAATTGAATGCATCATTTTTAATCATGGGAAATATGGTTAAGTTGAGCGAAACAATACATATTGAAAGAGTTTTACACCACTTGATATTATAAAGGAAGAGGGAGCTCAATGTTATACATTTGGACTTTAATTTTTTATTACAAGATGCATCATTAAGTAATACTCAAATATTGTATATGGACTCTTTTCTTCTAATATTCTAATGTTAAATATCATACTCTTGTGTTACAGTTTTGTGATATGTAGTTAGATTTTTTTAAGAGTGTATGCATTGGAATCCATGAGGTGTTTATTTTTTTTATCTGAGTTTTTACCGTCAACAATTGTTAAGAAGTCTAGAAAGAGTGTCATGAGAAATGCTTTAGGATAAAAAAAAAGCGTGACATCACATCCCTACCTAAAATCTTAAGATATCAATATATAAATTATTATTTTTTATATATTCAACATTTAGCTCATTCTTAGTCAATGTGAAATTAACTAACTTACACTCTAATCCAACAATCTCACTAACTTACACTCAACAATCTCACTAACTTATACTCTAACCCAACAATCTCACTCTTCACTTATGAATCTCTCGCTTTTTTTTATTGATCCAACATCTTGATCCACTCTTGGTCTCTACCAAACCAAATTAGAACTATGATAACACTTGTTAGAAAGTTCAATGAACGTTGGGTCTCTACCAAACCAAATTAGAATTATGATAACACTTGTTTGAAAATTAGAACTATGATAACACTTGTTAGAAAGTTCAATGAACGTTGGGTCTCTACCAAACCAAATTAGAACTATGATAATACTTGTTAGAAAGTTCAATGAATGTTGGGAGTGAGAAAATATCCCAGAGAGAGAGAGAGAGAGAGAGAGAGGAGAGAGAGAGAGAGAGAGAGGAGAGAGAGAGAGAGAGAGAGAGAGAGAGGAGAGAGAGAGAGAGAGAGAGGAGAGAGAGAGAGAGAGAGAGAGAGAGGAGAGAGAGAGAGAGAGAGGAGAGAGGAGGAGAGAGAGAGAGAGAGAGAGAGAGAGAGAGAGAGAGAGAGAGAGAGAGAGAGAGAGAGAGAGAGAGAGAGAGAGAGAGAGAGAGAGGAGAGAGGAGAGAGAGAGAGAGAGAGAGAGAGAGGGAGAGAGAGACGAGAGAGGGAGGCTCTGGAGAATCCTCGAGGGCTTCCTCCATTCAACAATCTTGTTGTGTTATCTCATTATTACATTCTCGTCAGTGTATTCTAGATTGTCAACTTGAGAATCTGAGTGAACTCGTAGCCTTTGTAAATTCATTTGTAAGAATTTATTTTTAAAAAAAATTAAATGTCAAAGCAAATGAATATAATGCAAGAGAAAAAGAGTAAAAATACAAGATACATCATAAGCACAAGATGTGCACAAGAAATAAACAAAATCGTCTATAAACAAAGGCCAAAGGAAAATATAAAACAAAAACCAAATGGAAGACCACCCAAGAGGCAGAAATAGGCCTACCCGAGAATAAAAATTAACACACCAACCCAACCACCCACAATACCAATCTAAATGTCTGCTAAAAGTACAAGTCAAAAGACAACCAGAAAAAAGCCAACCAGCTTAAGCAACCAATGTATCCTGAAACCTTTGGCTCATCAGACCTTCAGAGAGATTAAGTTGGAGGGAGGTAGATATGAACTTCCTGCACCAAACTAAAGGAGGACAGTTGACCATCCAACACACCCTTAAATTTCAAGTCAAGTGAGCGGGTCTCACATCTCAATCAACTAGAGGAATTGTAAAACTTGGAGCATGACCGACGAACCCACTTCCACATCGAACTGATAACCATAGATATCCAATGATTTACTGCCAAGATTTTCTCAAAAAAATAAATTTGTATCATATTTTCCAAATCATCCAAACACAAAATGTGAAATCGAAGCCAGGCCTAAAGACACGTGTTTCTCATTACCTAGACCCAAGAACAACTAAAACACCCCTAAAATCAAATGTCGCAAGGGCCATGGCCACCCCATCAAACTAAACACTATATACCTAATAACATAAGTTACCTCACATAAAATAAATTGATGATTAGCTGACTCCACCCACCCCACCCCCCCCCCCATCCCGCACACACACACACACACACACACACACACACACACACACACACACACACACACACACACACACACAAACCTCATAGTACCAAAACCATACACGATTTGACACGTCAAAATATTTTATATAGTTGGCAGCCTATCTTGAAGTAACTACCACAAGAACACAATAACTTTTGAAGTTTCTAACTCTTCTAGACCCTAGAAAGCCTCCCCTCCAACACCCTTTTTGACCTATCTTTAGTACCCCTAGCCAACTCCAACAACTTATCATAAGTTGACCTAAACTAGAAGCCTCTATCCGGATCAGGTTTCCAAACTTAAGAATCTACCCGACCACACCTAAACACCCTCGAAATAAGCGAAGGCAAATCCAAAAGAAGTCTTCCACCTCCACTTACTTAGCATGACAAGATTAACCAATTTGATATCCTTCACCCTCAAACCACCCACCGTTTTGGCTTTACAAACATCCTCCATCTTAACCAACAGAATCTTTTCTTCTCTCCTTTGGAACTACCCATTAAAAATGTTGTTGAATAACAATGAGCTTCCTCCAAACTGAAATCGGCATCTTCATGGAAGACAAGAAGAACACAACGATACCGCACATAATTCAACATAACCACTCTACCACCTAAACTCATAAGTCTCTAATAAGCTAAACGCTTAGAAAAAAGGTTTACCAGGGGATCCCAAAGACCCTAACGTCTTCGAGCTTTAACCTAGAGGGAGTTCTAAATACTTAATAGGAATGGAATCCACCTTACAATGCAAAAAAGGCTCATTCTGATCCAGAAAAAAGCCTACTAACATTAACCCAAACAAACAATTCTTAGAAAAATTCACTTTTGACTCTGAGGCAAGTTTGAAATTCCTAAGAACTGCCTTAATGGTCAAAAGATTTTCAACCGATAGAACCTCTAACTCTTCCATACCCACCTTAAACCCCCTCAAAAACATCCATCGAAACCGTCTTTTTCAAAAAAAGCACTAAGATCTTCCATGACCTAAAAGAAAAAGAAAAGGTGTTAAAAAATTTCCTTGCTCCAAACCTTTATAAAAACTAATCTTCTCCGTCAAATACATATCACCAAAAACATAAATACTATCTGAAATAACACAATATATATTAATATGATATATATAAATAATAATTTAATATTTAATCTCTATGATAAATTATCATAACGCTAAATCGATATTTATAAAGATAAACTATGACCCCACAAATATTATTAATTAGTATTAATAAATAATTTCGGCTGCATGATCACATTCACATATGCCAACCTTTGCGGCCATTATTCTCTCCGTCTTGTCCACTTTCATGCATCTGCTCTTCAAATTTAAAGTGAGGAACAAACCATTCCAAATGAAACCATAATATATGATTTAAATATCATCCATGTGCTTTTGCGAGTTTTAAACAACATGCATTATTCTTTAGACACGCAAAAGAATTAAAAAAATCGTTGATGTAATTTTAGATCAACTTTTAATAATTTTAAAACATCCTTCTACGTAACATTTGTCAGGCTTTTATCCACTTTATAAAGAAGACAATAAAGTGTAAGAAAATAAATAAAAATTGTCATAGACCATTCATCAAAGAAGTCCATACTTCATAGTACATATCAAGCTTAATATCGAATATAATTGAACAAATTTGAATCGTATGATTGAAATCGATCGATATGTTATTAATGGGTCATGTTGTATTAGATCGAGTATCAGATTAATTAATTACTTAATTTGAATAATATTAGATTGTTTTGGTCGGATTTTAATAATTATTTTAAATTCGTCAAAAATCGAAATTGATTGAACTTAAGTATATATTTTATTTATTTTATCAACTGGACTAATTAATATTTTTTTTTAATTACTATATAGAGAGTTCATTATAAAAATGAGATTTGTAATATTATTAGGGATATTATTATTTTTAAAATTTAATGATGACATTGTGTACTCTTAAAAATATAAATTATACAATATAAATTTTTGAATATTATTTAATTTATAATTTATTATTTAAGTATGATAATGATCAAATTAATGAATTGTTTCACTATTACAAAAATAAACAATGCCATCATTAAATTATAAATTTTGAAAAGTTGTTATTTAGTTTATAGTTTACGTAATAATAAATTTTTTTCACTAATAAAATATATATATATATATATATATATATATATATATAT